GAGCCGAAGTTTGGGGTTTTCACTCTTCACATATATATTCTTCAAGTTCAGGATAAGTTTTGTAAACAAATACTAAGACTTTCTGTCTCGACTCCGAACATTGTAGCTCGTGGTGAGCTTGGCAGGTACTCTTTGAATGTCAATAAACACATTAATGTAGTTAAATATTGGATGAGGTGCATAAGTCAAAGGGAAAATATAATATTGTACAATGTATATAGGTATCAGTATAGTTTAGCAGAGAAAAATATAGATTGCTGGGCACTAAAAGTAAAAAACCTATTGTTCACTTATGGTTTTGGGCAGGTATGGATGGAGCAGCGTGTTGTCAATGTCCAACAATTTCTAGTCGAGTTTAAACAAAGATGTATTGACATTGACGTTCAAAATTGGCTATCAGACCTTGGTAAGTATTCTAAACTTGAAATGTACAGACAAATTAAGGTGCAGTTAAGCGGAGAAGATTATTTTAATGATGTGAAGTGTAGATGTCTTGTGTTCTTGTTAAACACATTGTGATGTGAAGTGTAGATGTCTGGTGTTCTTGTTAAACACACTGTGATGTGAAGTGTTAATGTCTGGTGTTCTTGTTAAACACACTGTGATGTGAAGTGTAGATGTCTGGTGTTCTTGTTAAACACACTGTGAAGTGAAGTGTGGATGTCTGGTGTTCTTGTTAAACACACTGTGATGTGAAGTGTAGATGTCTGGTGTATTTGTCAAACACATTGTGATGTGAAGTGTGGATGTCTGGTGTTCTTGTTAAACACACTGTGATGTTAAGTGTAGATGTCTGGTGTATTTGTTAAACACACTGTGAAGTGAAGTGTGGATGTCTGGTGTTCTTGTTAAACACACTGTGATGTGAAGTGTAGATGTCTGGTGTATTTGTCAAACACATTGTGATGTGAAGTGTGGATGTCTGGTGTTCTTGTTAAACACACTGTGATGTGAAGTGTAGATGTCTGGTGTTCTTGTTAAACACACTGTGATGTGAAGTGTGGATGTGTGGTGTACTTCTCAAACACACTGTGATGTGAAGTGTGGATGTCTGGTGTACTTCTCAAACACACTGTGATGTGGAGTGTGAATGACTGGTATATTTGTTAAACACACTGTAATGTGAAGTGTAGATGTCTAGTGTTCTTGTCAAACACACTGTAATGTGAAGTGTAGATGTCTAGTGTTCTTGTCAAACACACTGTAATGTGAAGTGTAGATGTCTGGTGTTCTTGTTAAACACACTGTGAAGTGAAGTGTGGATGTCTGATGTTCTTCTCAAACACACTGTGGTGTGAAGTGTAGATGTCTGGTGTACTTGTCAAACTCATTGTGGTTTGAAGTGTGGATGTGTGGTGTACTTCTCAAACACACTGTGATGTGGAGTGTGAATGACTGGTATATTTGTTAAACACACTGTAATGTGAAGTGTAGATGTCTAGTGTTCTTGTCAAACACACTGTGATGTGAAGTGTGGATGTCTGGCCTATTTGTTAAACACTTTGTGGTTTTAAGTGTGGATGTCTGATGTACTGGTTGACAGATTGTGGTGTGAAACGCGGATATTTGGTGTACCGTTTCAACAAGTGGAGGTGTAGCATGTGGAAGTGTGGGTACCAGAGTGACACATGTCAATGTGTCATCGTTATGTGTCGTTCTTTACTGAACCGGTGTGACACAGTTTTGGGTGCATATAACAAGAAAACAAATTATCACGTCACACTAAAGGTGGTCCCTTGAGGTATCTTACCAACCTCAGGGGACATCAGATTGTAATCAGCAGTCGTCTGGAAACTGGATATCTCATAGGCGAAACATCACATAACATTGTTAATGGTGGAGTCTAAACGTTAACCGGGGATACAAGTGACAATTGGTTGCGCATCATAACATAAATGGGTTAGAATAGTCAATGTGTTCACAATTCAGTTCTAATGACGTTTCTGCTGAAGCCGACTTTAAACAGATAAACATGACATTTGTTAGGGGCACATGCGACACAGCTTCCTTGATACTTGGGGGCACGGGTTGCCCAGTCGTCTAAGGCTTCTAGGTTTGTCAACACCATACCCGTGCCCGTGGGTTTCACCGAATTGGTAAACGTCCGAGACCAGGCATCACTTCGGGCTTTCCTCTCACATTAAGCTGACACGCCGTGATATAACTGGAATACTGTTAAAAGCGGCTATAAAACCAACTCACTCACTCACTCACTCACTCCTTGATACTGCCTTGTTATATGTAACTTAGACCGATAAGAATTATCACTGACTATTCACGATCAGGTATACGTATGCTTTTACTGTGGCATGATTTATTTATATGCTGACATATTTGCTTCTAAGTTCAATTTCCAAATTCCAAGTTAACCCAGAAATCGACACGCACAGAAACTAAATGACCTCACATGATCAATAAATAATCAATTATTTTGATAATCCACATTTTAGGTTCACAATCAAAACAGTCAATACAGTGGGTAAAATACACTCTTCAAAAAAAGAACCGCACAGGTAGTAATGTAGTTCATTGAACCTGACTACAAAAAAAAATCCGGTATATAAATTGGATATATGTTATTGGAAAATGTTGGTGGTCTGATATTCGACAAAAGGTGCGTCAAAACGCAGCCATTGTCGATTTGCAACGTCTTAAACGGCATTGTTTTCACACTTGTTCAAACATGTCATGGAGGAAAAAAGTAAAACAAAATGCACGTGTAAGTTATGGCATTCGTAAGTCGTAGTAGTGGCTATAAAAAGGCAAGCATAAGCCAATAATTTGTCATTCAATTGTCAACATTTTTCAAGTTCGAAAATGCCGAGGCTCAGCGCCGCCGATCGGAACATCGCCATAGGACGTATCCACGCAGTCTTCTGTTGCAGGCCACTTCAACGTCCACCACAGCACCATTTGCCGCCTTTTGGACCGATACACACAGTTCATTTGACTGCAGACTGTCCGAGAACATGCCGACCAAGAGTTACCACCCCTGCACAGGATCGCTACCTTCGACTGGTCCACCTATGTCATCGCGACGCCACAGCTACGGAGACTGCAGGACGCATCCCTGATTTGAGGAGGATATCGGACCAGACTATCAGGAACCATCTTCGCGAGGCTGGTATCCGACCCAGAAGACAAGTTATCGTCCCTGTTTTGCAACAGATCCATCGACAGCGACGCTTGCGTTGGTGCCATACCTCACGAAAAGAGCGTCGAAATGAGCGTTTTGCCCAACATTGTGTACGTTGATTTGACAATTTCGGTGGCGGTAGTGTCTGGTGTGGGGGGCCATATACTACAGGTTACACACAACCAAATGTTTTCCCATAGACTTCTATAGTAACGTTATATTTTTTTTTAAACTAAGCAATCAACAGCTATTACCTGTACGTGTGTGCACAGTTTGGCCTTAGACGAGCAATAAAAAAATTTAAAAAATGACTAGCTTAGCCAGCTCCTTTTCCGAGTACAGGAAGCTAAACACACCACCCCCAGTTTCGCACCAAATGTCACCTACTTGAAAATAGCTGTGGTCACTTTCAGCAAAAGTCATCATGTTGAAATAACTGGATGGATGTACATTTGAAAGACATAAAAATCTTACAGAATATCCTCCAATCACAGACTGCAGATATCTCTCGATCTGCACTGAAGGCTCCCTACGAAAACCGCACTTTCCAAACTGGTTCTGATTTGGTGTAGTAGAAACTACACCAGGAGATCATACTTGGTTGTGGTTCAGGGAAATTTGACAGCAAATCGCTACATAAATCAAATTCTTCAACCTCACCTTCTCCCAGTAATTGACCGCCAGAGGGAGCTGTTTCAACAGGACAACGCTCCACCGCATACAGCTCGTGTCACGGTAGACTGCCTTCATAATGCCAACATCAACGCCTTGCCCTGGCCGTCGAGATCTCGATATCTCAACCCAATCGAACACCTCTGGGATTAACTCGATCGACGTGTACGTCAACGTCAGAACACGCCGCAGACACTCACACAACTGGCCAACGCGTTACAAGCAGAATGGCGCAGAATTCCGCAGGACATAATTCGTACACTTATCCAGTCAGTGCCGAGGAGATGCAGAGCCGGGGTGGTCACACGAGAGTTCAGCGCATCCGTGTGACCTTATATGACAAGACAATGAACAGTTTTCAGTGCCTTTGTACGACGACAACATGTGGCTATCGAGCCCCAAAATTTCATATTTGTATCTATGATATTAAATTAAATATATCGACTTTATTAGGTACAATAAATTTACTAAAAATATACCCGTGCGTTTCTTTTTTTGAAGAGTGTAAATGGCAACAGCAATAAGTAACAACCCATGCTTGCCGTAAAGGCGACTATGTTTGTCGTAGGAGGCGACCAACGGGATCGGTTGGTGACTTGTTCGCTGACTTGGTTGATGCATGTCATCGATCAGATTTGCTTGGATCGATGTTCATAATGTCAAGCCCTGGCATGTCTGGTCCAGACTAGATTATTTACAGAACGCCGTCATGTAGCTGGAATATTGCTGAGTGCGGCGTTAAAAAACAAACAAACAAACAAACTGCTAGTTACATGGTCAGAATTGATGCAGTATTAAAACATGGAGTCGTATCATTTTACGAACGTGTAGCTTTATGCCTAAATGCTTCTTACTCCCAGAGGCCCGTGAAGATTCTGGGGTAGAAGAGGTCTTCAGCAACCCATGCTTGCCGTAAAAGGCGACTACGCTTGTCGTAGGGGGGGGGGGGGGGGGGGGGCGACTAACGGGATCGGGTGGTCAGGCTCGCTGACTTGGTTGATGCATTTCATCGATCCCAATTGCGTGGATCGATGCTCACGATATTAATCACTGGATTGTCTGGTAAAGCCTCGATTATTCCCAGACCACTGTCATACAGCTGGAATATTGCTGAGTGCGGCGTTAAACAACAAACCAAATCCAAATACTCCCAGAGAGAACGTCAGTTTATAATATTTATTACTAACCCATCTCTGTTTATATTTCACCGAAGAAGTTATATTTGCAATATCCATGTATTTCCTTCCGGATAAAGTTCTGTTTTTTAATCTACAGGCGGGTGTCATATGATGTCTCGGCGTGTTTGTTGCTGTACTTCATTTCTCTCCTCTTGGCCATTCTGTACTGCACAAGCATTCCACAGCACAAACAGAAACCTGCAGAAAAAAGCACACCATTAGAAACCAAAGGCAATGACGACAATATGTTTCCCATACATGCCTTAGACGTTTACCACTTTGGTGAGCACAATGCATACGGAAATTCGTGCTAGTCATAGTCAAGGCAAATCTAACGACTATCTTATCCCAGCACTCTAGGGCCAAGTCCGGCACGATTCTACACCTTGCGATCGTCACCTACTAAGAGTATTTGTGAACGTACTGAATATTATTCCTCCACCGCCTATGTAGAGTATCCCATGCCATCCAATGGCGGATTTCAGTTGTGACGTCAGAAGCGCCCCTGCCAGCTGAACTACAATCTGGAACAGCAATAGATGAGAAGAAGTAACTACCTATCTACCTACCTGTGGTTTGAAATTTTTAAGTAACAAAGAGTTCTATTCTTTTCTATTATCTACTTTTAATCTCTACATTGTAAAACTATGCTATTTTATTGACATTTTTTTTATTGAAAAAAAACCTTTATTTGATCTTATCCCATAAGTGAGTGAGTGAGCGAGTTTGGTTTTACGCCGCTTTTAGCAATATTCAAGCAATATCACAGCGGGGGACACCAGAAATGGGCTTCACACATTGTAACCATGTCGGAATCGAACCCGGGTCTTCGGTATGACGAGCGAACGCTTTAACCACTAGGCTACCCGACCGCCCGTTATCCCATAAGTAAGAATTTGAATAAATACACTGCTTTTTAATCTACGTCTCAAGTTGTCCCTACCCAACCACCTCTATAGTTTCTTCAAACAGATTATATGGGTCTATCACTGCACGGATTACTCTGAGCCATGGAGAAATTACTCATGCATCGTAAGACAACCTTTTTAGATCTCTTACACTGTCAGTGATAATAATTTTCTTAAATTGGGACATGTTTGGAAACTTAAGATTGCTTCACATCGGAATAAATAATGCAATTTATCTCCCACAGCGATAGAATCAGAGTGGACACTGGCGGTCTTCCCTGGGAATGTTCAGCCATTTACCAGTTTCAAGGGTAATATATGGTTAGAAGTTCTGAAGTTTGATATAGGGACAATTATTGATTTTGGGAGCAATAGATATTTCTCAAATGAGGGTTGATTCTTCATTTACTTTTGACCTTTATTCGGCAGTGGATGTCCAGTTCTGACGGAATTGAGATTTGTATATACTGAACCGCAAACGAAACGTCACCCCAAGTAACATTGCATGAAAAGTTGTCATTTAAATATCTGCGTAATGTTTGTCAAAGTTTCTAAAATGTAACATTACTTTGTCTGGAAAAATGAAATTTGATGATAAAAAAACAAAGCAGATGACAATAAAACCGATCGTCCAAACGCATCACGGCAACGGACATGGTAACCCGATGCACGCGCGTTCCGTGCAAATTGAAATGCACATGAGTTCCCACATTTCTTGCCCTGTAAAAATCCACCCAGATCGGATAACATTGACAAGAAATCAGCGACACCAAGCCCTTGGACGATTGCAAGCTGGACAAACCGCCCGGCAAGTAGCCAGTGCATTTCAAGTCCATGTAAGGACCATATACAGTCTCCAGGAACAGTACCAGACCACCAATACTACAGATGACCGATCACGTAGTGGAAGACCAAGGATCACCACCCGACGTCAGTATCGTCAGATTGTGCGACAGCATCTTCAAGATCGCTTTTTTACTGCTGTGGAAACTGCTCGACAGACCATGGGGACACACCAGCGACACATTAGTGCGGACACCGTGCGTCAACGATTGACGAGCAGACACCTCCACTGTCACAGGCCACACCGAGGACCCATTCTGACACCACGTCATCACCGGGGCTGTTTTCAGTGGGCAACACAGCACCAGCATTGGCGCCACCATCAGTGGAGAAGAGTCCTCTTCTCAGACGAGAGCCGTTACTGTATATCAACAGCAGATGGCAGAAAGAGTGAGAGTCTGGCGACGCCATGGACAACGTTATTCGGATGCTTGTATTGTTGAGAGGGACTCGTTGGGTGGTCCGAGCATCATGGTGTGGGGTGGAATTGGCCTTGCACAGAGGGTCGGCCCTGTGGTCTTCCAGAACATCGGTCCAGGGAGAGGCAATGGTGTCACAGCTGCACGGTACATTGATCAAGTCTTGAGACCACACGCCATACCTCATTTTACAAGTCGCCGCAACAACGAGTTTCAGCATGATGACGCCTGTGCCCACACTGCGAGAGCAACAAGATACTTCCTCCAGCAGAAAGGCATCAGAACCATGCAGTGGCCTGCCCTCAGTCCCGATTTAAATCCCATTGAGCAACTGTGGGACAAGATTCAAAGACGGCTGAATGACGTCCGACCAAGGCCGTCAGGCGTTCCTTAGAGTGTGGGCTCAAGTGCCTATGGCCTTCATCAACCGCCTCATCCATTCCATGTTTCGACGTTGCACAGAAGTCATCAATGCACATGTTGGACACACGATATACTGACTTTTGATGCCATTTTCCAGAGACAAGTGATGTGTTTTACACTAAGAACATTTGACACTTGATGATCAGTTTTGCCAAGTTTAATCTTTTAATATGTCTCAAAGTATGTTTACAGTGTTTGGACACATAAGGTTTCTCTTATATCTCAGTATGTATATATATTCAACTATTGAGGCCAGCCATGGAGTTGAACATACCGATGGGTTTTGAAAGACCGCAATTATCTAATACATTCTTAATAAATCTAACCATGGGACATTTTCAACTTCTATATGGATAGTATACAAGTATTTGTAAAGTATTTTGGACGGTTTATGATACACTTCTGAGGTAGCAAGCTTATGCCAAAAGGAGATAATACGTTTGTAAACTTTAATACTTAGTGGTTCCCTACCAAGTTCGCCGTATAACATAAAGTTTGGAGTTGTATTTTTCAGTCCAGTAGCTATTTTAAGAGATTTTAGATGAACCCTTTCTATAATATAGTTAAATTCTCGTATCCTCAGTTCCCGATACCATATATTATAGTATAGGGACGACGGTTGCATCAAATGCAGATAAGAGGCAATCTAGTGGCAGAGTAACATTTCAGGACTTCATGAGTAGGCTGAACATGGCTTTAGTTGCATTTTCTGACAGAAATTTGACTGCTCGTATATATTGTCTATTCATGTGTTGTTTTAGGTCAAGGTATATGAATCTAGAGTTTCGATAGGGTCGGTGCCAATAGTGAAACATAATTTCGATTTGTTTGCAGGTCCGGCACCAAAGATCACAACTTTTTTTTTGTTAGATTAACATTGAACTTCCATAGAGCACAGCGTTTTTTTAAGGTCTTTCGGGTTATCACTTATTATAACTGTGTCATCAGCATAGAGCAGTATTAGGAGCTGGAAAAATACAGTTAGGTTAGTATCGATCAGATTTCCAAGGTAAACACCTTTACATTCATTGTTCAGATATTGTTAAAGATCATTTAGGAATAATGAAAATAGGAGAGGGGTTTTCACCTGTCGTGCACCATCATGACATATGAAATCGTCAGAGAAATGGTTATTAACACTAATTTTAGATTCGATGTTGTACATATTTTTGACCAGGTTGAAAAACCTTTCTTCTTTTCCAAGTTTTTGAAGTTTATGCCATAGACCAACTCTTCATACTTTATGGAATGCTTCAGTAAAATCTATAAAAAAAAACGAATATACTTTCTTTTTCGATATTTTCATTATTTGCATCAACATTTGCATTGCAAAGATGCTATCACAAGTAGAAAATGCTTTTCTAAAACCAGCTGGCGCAGGATTTTAAATGTGATTATCATCAACAAGTTTAATTAATCTGTTATTTAATATCCGGGTGAAAAGTTTGCAGAAGCAATTCAATATAGTTAAAGGTCTGTATGAATTAGGGTCAAGGCGATTGCCCTTCCCTTTATAGGGTAGCAGGGTTACAATTAGGCGTGCATTCAAACCTGAGAGATTGGAAACACAACTCTCAACAGAGCCGGAGATACCCTTCCTATGTAAAGCGTCTGGACTAGATACATTTTAGAGTGAAAGGAACAGTCACACAGAAAATGTTTCTTCTCTTTCATCCGAGTCCATGGTTCATATGTTATGATTATGAAAACAGCCACCCATTTCACTATAACTTGTTTAAAGAACACCAAAAGTACAAAGCAGAATTTGATTGGTTAAAACTTTGTGGAGTCTTGAACAATTAAACATCTAAATATTCATAGAAAATGAGGGAGTTTGGAGTGCGTCACTCAAAATACAATTCTTAATTGTTCAGAAGGTGACATTTCCATTATGAAATACAGAAACCAGAATAGATTGTCTGATAACATGTTGCTCCAAGTTCCAAGGAAACAGCCATTGATGTTATTTTTAGTATATTTTAGGCTGAGCACCAGAGTGTCCACCTTTAAATTATAAGAATTCCATAGCCTGATGCTGGAGACTCACGTGGCTGGTGCCGAGCAGACCGCAGTTGACGCTGAAGTATTTCTGACCATATAGAGAGACTGTTAGTGATGGCATGAGTGCGAAGCATCCCGAGAACGTCCCGTAGATGACACACAGCCAAATCATCAGCATCACTTTCCCGCCATATTCACACAAGGTGAAGGTCGCCCCTGCTGCTCCAAACACCCCGATGACAATGGTGAGTGATTCCTGTGAATCGAATAATTGAGGCCATTTATACATAGCTGTGAGTAGATTTGAAGGTACTTGAAAAAAAACAGAAGGATGAGGTCATTCATCGATAGTATGTAAGTAGTTGTTCAGGTACGAGAAAAAAACCTGTAGATTGAGGTCATTCATCCATACGTTTAGTAGATTTATAGGTGTGTGAAAAGAAATCATATGAATGGTTCCCCAAAACAGTATACTCAGAGCACTGATCCGACAGACACTAGCAGAGTCTGAAAATGGTCTTCTGTCGTGTCGTGTGCTGGCTTGCAAAGGCACATTACACGCCATCATAAGTCATTGTTCCAATTTTTTGTTATAAGAATGAGGTCAGTCATCGATAGCTGATTAGTAGATTTGTAGGCATGTTACAGGACATAAGAATTAGCTAATTCGTTTCTTGTTTGTAAATAGTTGTGTAGGTGCGTGAAACATATAAATGAACTGATTCATGACTAGTTTGTAACTAGTTGTGTCGGTACGTGCAAAAACCCTTAGGAATGAGGTCATTCATCCATACTTTGTTTGGAGATGTATAGGTGTGCGACAGAACATATAAATGACCTCATTCATGACTAGTTTGTAAGTATTTGTGTAGGTACGTAAAACAACACAAGAATGGCGTCATTAATCTATACTTTGTTAGTAGATGTATAGGTATGTATAATTGCTTTATAGGATCTCTGATAGAAAATATGAATGGGGTCCTGATTCGCGCCAACCAAAGAAAACATACAATATGCTTTCTCACTGTGGCTATATATCATTGGCAGAACATATACATTCTTTGATGTTTGCTGGTATTAGTTTCATGTGGCTATTACAAACGGTAGGCGATAGCCCTTCGTTTAAGGAAACAACGCCATCATATGTTAAAGCACAAATGGTTCTGAACACAACCAACATGTACCAAATAAAAGACCAACAGGAAATTTCCTTTTCTGGGAACCTCCCTAAACTGCATGTATACACCTACTTGTAAATATGTTTTCGTTCAAGAACCAGAGACCGTCAAGCACTACGATGACTTTGACTCCCCTCAATAAACGTCCCTGGACTTACCCTGTAGCCTATCTTGTCGCCCAGGGCTCCCCAAAACAGTCTGCCAAGAGCACCAAAGACTGAGGCCACAGACCCTGACAGAGTCAGAAAATGGTCATCTTTGATGAATGTGTTTGAAAAGGTCTGAAAAGAAACAACATGCGTGTCGAGCTGGTTTGCAAATTACTCTCGATTATAAGGCTAGCGTAAAACATTGTTTGATAATCTTAATAAAAAACTTTATTTGATTTGGGGTGAGACAAGATTCCTGACAACCATTCTTTAATGCAGCCACAGTGTAATTTAGGCGAAATAGCCAATTCAAAATGTCCGCTATTGTGTCCAACATCGGAGCAACTGAAAAGGTCATCGGCAATGAGTGTCAAGATCTGCTGCCTTCCTGTCCCCGTACCTTCAGGAGCTCCTATTGTTATTGCTACTCATTCGCTTCATGTATATGTATTTCGCATAAGTTTATGGAGAGCCTCGACTCCACATTTATAGCATAGCTACAAGTATTCAACGTGCACCAGTGTGACTGATGCAGTTCTGACCTTGTAGAAGTTGGTGACGAAGAATATACCGAGGATCACACAGCTGTAGATTAGCCAGAACAGGTAGAAAGTCTTCGATTGTAAAACCTGACGTGGAGTGTAGCTACCGTCGTCTTCTTGAGAGATGACACTGGGGGAATGTTTTCTGGTGATGGAATGATTAGTGAGTTCTACATCTGACACGTGTTCATGATTTGAAGAAATATATTAAAAAGGACACTAATAACAGCAAAGTGATCTGATGCGGGTCCATAAAACATTTGTAATTGTATGTTGTTTATTTCTTGTTCCTCAACATGCACATCCCACAAAATAATTAAAGCAATTCCCTAGTTTGACTTGTGCAATGTGTTCCCGTGATATATTAGGTGGACAATGGACATTTGCGTTTGCGGTAGGTGCAACAGAGGGACAGGATTCTCTCACTTTGTGTCATCACTATTTGATATTAATTCATTAACACATGATTGTAATATAGTCTGAATCGTACCATGTACTCTGCTTTTAGTAGACATTTCTTATATTTATGGAAAGCTTTGTATCGTTGTTAGGTGGCTTAAAACTGTGACGTAAATATACCAACGAAAATATTTTTAGTAGGAAAATGTTTTCAGTGATTATACATTTGGTTATCGTTACCTAAATGCGTCCAGTGTAACGTCTCCCACTTCTTTGGGCTTTTCATCTGGATTCGTCTCCTCTGCATGACTCGTGTTAACTGCCTCATCAGAACTTCCCTCCTGTATGGCACACAACCAACATATAGTTTAATAACAGGAACAACTGTACACAACAATAATAGAAGATGCTTCTGATGTGCAAATTTTGAAATCAAAGTGAAAAGCCGGAAGTAGCCCTTCCGCTACATACCTGTGAGGGCGTGTCCGTGGGTGTGGCTATGAGGAACATGACGGCGAGGAGCTGTATGGCCGTACAGACCCCACCCAGTAGCAGGAAGCAGTAGGGTACCCTGTCCAGCAGAGAGGCCTGAGTGAAGAACCTAGATAATGTTAAGAGTTATTGGTTTTATTGTCAATTATTGTGTTGCATTTAATATGTTTGTCAATTACTTTTAAGACATCTTTACACACGAGATAACATAAATAAGTATTTTCAAATGCTTGGATAATTTTAAACTTCAATTCTACAACGGACACCATTTTGCTCATATGTCTCGTGATACGTCCTGCTAAGGGGACGTTCATTTCCTATTCTTGGGGGCCTGGCTTTTTATCGAAAGAAATACATTGTCACAGAAAATTCGTGAAACATTTAAGCTTCAGACTGTCACAACAAAAAGAAATTGTCTGCCACAAACATAGTATTGTTAAAAGCACTTTATTTGGGCTCATAGTATTAGTTATAAAAATATCTTGTTTCACAGCTATCGCTGAAAACCTATGTAGTCTCCATACAAAACACCCCACCCGGCCCTTACTTGTAAATGACTTAGATAGGAGACTTCTCATATATCAAACAAACATTCTCTAAAGTGTTCATGCAAAACTAAGGAGACATACAAATAATTTCACTTGGTCTCTTGAAATTTGGCAACAATTTTATGAAACAAAATGCATTGACCCATAATTATTTTGACCTAGTCCTGGTAAACCTCCCTATGTTACGAGCACCTTCTTTAAGCATCCATCCGCATGCTATGTTTCTAAAATAGAACGAGTGTCCAAATGTATATCAAACTGGATGATGACATCTTCAGTGGTTCAACAGCGAAAGAGTTATGATATTAATAATTGCGCAAAATTTAAATAAACTCGTAACATCTTTGCTTAGTTCACAGTCTCTAATATTCCTATCCGTGGCACGGGTGGCCCAGTCGTGAAAGGCGCCGCGATTCGCTGTGCAGAGTTGCGTACCTTGGGCACGCCAGAAACCTATGAATGTGGGTTCGAATCCCGATTCGCCCCGATTATGTTTCTAGGTTTGTCAGCACAATACCCGTGCTCCTTGGTGTCATCGAAGTGGTAAACGTCTGACACCTGCATCACTTCGGGCTTCCCTCCCACATTAAGCTGACGCGCCGTGATATAACTGGAATACTGTTAAAAGCGGCGTTATACTCACTCACTCACTCACTCACTCACTAACTCGCAATGTTCACACGGATTTGTGTCTGCAGTATAGTACACTTACAAGTCATCTTTGATCGTTGCATCAGGAGACAGGTTGTCAGGGTTAATGAAGGCAGTGACGACCTGGTTCAAGGCGATGGTTCCAAAACCAATTCCAGAGATGATGATTCCTGTCACCAGACCAGATCTGTTTGGAAACCACTGAAACGACAGATGTTGGCGTATGCTTGTTTATGCTTCCGTTTGCAGATTATATCCTCATCTGAATAAGATATGTATATTTGTCCTCAAACAATAATCAGAAGTTAAATTTGATCCCTTTTTTCTTCATTAAAAAAGGGGGCACGGGGGGCCCAGTCGACTAAGGCGCCGCGATTCGCTGTGCAGAGTTGCGTCCCTTGGGCACGCCAGAAACCTATGATTGTGGGTTCGAATCCCGATTCGCCCCGATTATGTTTCTAGGTTTGTCAGCACCATACCCGTGCTCTTGGGTTTCACCGAAGTGGTAAACGTCTGAGACCTGCATCACTTCGGGCTTTCCTCCCACATTAAGCTGACACGCCGTGATATAACTGGAATAATGTTAAAAGCGGCGTTAAACCCAACTCACTCACTCACTCATTAAAAAAGGTGCGAGAACCTAGGTGAATATAAGTATTTGCATTTACAAATCTTTAAAGAGCTACCACCTGCATACAATACAAAAACCTCTATAGACAAAGTGTACTTTCAATAAGTCAGTCCCTCAATCATTTTGAAACTGACCTTGAGGGCACTTTTCAGAGCTCCAGGGAATGCCATACTTTTCCCAGCACCGTTCATAGCGCCATATATAAAGACCGTCAAGGTGAGAGAATGCTGCATAGCGAAGTACGTGAGGAACAAACTGGAACTGAAAGAATACATTACATTACAGTAGAACCCCCGTATGCTGGTGTACGTAGAGCAGACGAATGTCATGTAATGCAATAGGGTCTAGTCAATAACGAAGGTTGCTTCCTCTTAACGTTTGTTTTGTTTGTTTGTTTTTGTTTAACGCTGCACTCAGCAATATTCCATCTATATGACGGTCTTTAAATAATCGAGTCTGGACTAGACACTCCAGTGATTGATATCATGAACATCGATCTACTTTATTGGGACACGATGACATGCATCAGACAAGTTAGCGAGTTGGATCACCCGATCCCGTTAGTCGCCTCTTACGACAAGCATAGTCGCCTTTTACGACAAGCATGGGTTGCTGAAGACCTATTCTACCCTTGATCTTCACTTGTCTGTTTCCCTTTTACTAACAATCATCAGAAATATACTCGCCACATCTACTGCCACATAACAATTGCTGGACCGCCTCTGTGGTCTAATGGTAGAGCGTCTGCCCGGAGAGCGGAAGGTCCGGGGCTCGATCCCCAGCCGCGTCATACCAAAAGACGTTAAAAGATGGTACTTGCTGTTACCCTGTCTGGCGCTCGGCATTAAGAGGCTAAAACAAGAACTGGTCGGCTCGGAGTCAGTATACTGTGTCTGAGTGGGGTATTCATGTTAAACTGCGGCATGGTATCTCAGTGAGCTAGCACTATAAATTGGCCTCAGTCCGGACTAGTACAAGTAGCCACACACACACATATACACGTGCATGCACGTCGCTATATAAGTGCAATAATCTTGGACGCGACGCTAAACCCCATTTCACCTCACCTCACCATAACCATTGCTTCCATTTAACAATAGTTATGTGGCAGTAGGCCGTATCTTTCGTGACTGATGCCGATTTATAGTGCTAGCACACTGAGATACTCCGAGCCGACCAGTCCTTGTTTTAGCCTCTTAATGCCGAGCGCCAGACAGGGTAACAACAAGTACCATCTTATAATGTCTTTTGGTATGACGCGGCCGGGGATCGAACCTCTGACCTTCCGCGCCCCGGGCGGACGCTCTACCACTAGACCACGGAGGCGGTCTTTTCTACTTGGAAATGAACACGTGGCACAATAGGTTATGTTAAAGCATTAACCGCTGCAAGGCTCGTTATTATGGCTTGACGGCCCTCTAGGCAGAATACCTGTAAATAAGTCCGCCAATAAGAGTGCAGATTCTTGAAGGTAACTTCTGCTCTATCCAGCCTAATATGGGCATACACAGTGCAAAGGACAGAAAGTTCGCCGTGGAAATCCAAACACTTTCTGAGTAAGTCACATCACTGGAAGAACTTCGAGCCCGCAGGTAGGACGTCAGATAGGGATTTAGGGTGCCTGAAAACAAGGGAGGTAATCACTACAATGACCGTTCATTGCCACGGTAAATGAGGTTTTCCAGACCCTTTTGGACATATGCTCAACAACAAAAGTATCTGTGACACGAATATTTTAGCGTATTTTTCAAACAAGAAACAGCTACAGAAAAGCATGCATTCCGTGCAAAAGTTAACTTTTATGCAAGCCCCATGAATTTCACTGCCCAAGAATGGGTTTAAAAACATGTGCGTTAACGAGATTCCATATACATGGTTAGCATCGTGCTGACAACAACCACTCAGAAAAACAACAATTACGCAATTATTCAACATTACGAAATGCCACGCCTGTCCGAAAATGAGCGTCTGCGAGCTATCGGTATGCTTGAAGCATGATCGAGTCAACGTGATGTTGCAAGGCAATTCAACGTCCACAGAAACACAATTTGGTGTTTATGGCAACGTTGGCAAGAGACGAATGCAGTCAGAAACCATCTTCGGAGTGACAGGCCACACGTAACCAATAATCGACAAGAACACTGGATTCGAACAACACACCTACGAAATCGATTCCAGCCAGCAACAGTGACTGCAAGAAGCATCCCTGGCCTTCGACGAAATATCTTCACAAACCGTACGTCGTCGCCTCAGATGTTCAGGGATTGTCGCCAGAAGACCCGCCAGACATCCCATTTTGACAGGAAACCACCGTCAAGCACGTCTACAGTGGTGCAGACAGCGTCTACGCTGGACGGCCATGCAGTGGGGACAAGCTCTATTCACTGACGAGTCTCGTTTTCACCTCAGCCACAGCGATGGACGGATTCGAGTGTACCGACGTCGAGGTGAACGTTACGTCAATCATTGTGTCATAGAAGAAGATCGGTTCGGGGGCGGCAGCGTTATGCTATGGGGTGGGATTACAGCAAGACAGAGGACCCGTTTGATAGTGGTAGAGGGAATTTCAATGGACAGCGCTACCGCGACGAGATCATCAGCCCTGTTGTTCTACCGAATTTGCGTCGTCATGGCCCAGGCATTACCTTTCAACATGACAACGCCCGGCCTGATATGCTCGACTTGTTCAGGATTCTCTTCAACAAAACAACGTGAATGCCATCCCCTGGCCGGCTCGCTCCCCTGATCTCTCACCAGTCGAGCACATATGGGATGAGATGGATCGGCGCCTTCGACGTCAACCACGTTTTCCACAGACACTCCAGGAACTTCGAAACATGCTTTAGCAGATATGGACAGATAACCTACAGGACTTTGTGCGACGCCTGGTCCATTCCATGAGACGAAGATGTGTTGCTTGCATCGCAACTTGAGGTGAACACACACGCTATTGATTTTTAAATTGACATTTTGGCATGTTCATGTTTTTTTTATGAAATCACGCATTTTCTGAAGTCAGTATGGCAAATTAAACCATTTGAACACTTACAGGAGTCTTTTATCTGTTGCAAACCGAAATTGTTTCAGATTTGGTAAAAAAGATAACTTTGCATTAAATCTTATTCAGTGTCACAGGAACTTTTGTTGTTAATGGGATACATTTAAATTGCCTCAGTCTCATTCTGTGTTTAAATAGCTTCCAACTATATTGAACATAGCATTTGATCATTGCATAAAGGATAGGCTAAATGCGAGATGACCATGATGGGAGCAATGTGTTATCAGGCATTGTCACATTCTTCATCCAATGATTGTGTTTGACAGTGACTTTAAAACATTATGACTATTGTGTTAGTGAGAACTAAGGATACAAGATGTGTAGTATATAGTTAAGTATGTACAACTTACCAAAGACGTACCCGGTGCTGATGGTGCTGTGTATCAGGAACCCGCCAATCACAGTCAGCACGCCGCGGAGAGGCAATGTGCGCATGCGCAACAGGATGTTCTTCGCCATCTTTGGTAACCCTTTCTCTCAGTTTGTTATGGGGGGAAAGGGTTTATGCAATGTAAGTAGTTGCGAGTATACTAGTACGCTTGATCTTGTTCCACTTTTCATGAATTAACTGGATCAAAGCAGCTTACGAACGTCAGTATCTGAAGACATAAAAAATAACTGAATGAAATACGCCTGGAACAAACTGGGTCAATATCAATAATTATGTTTAATGTTCATCCATATAACACCCGGGTATAAAAATAATAACATCGACATTTTCTCGCGAATTAACAGGATAAAGTGAAAAATAAAAGCCTTTTACGAACGTCAATGACCAGTTTTTAATATTTGAAGACTTTCAAAGAATAATTGAAATACGGATTTCATCATTAGGGTCAATCTGCATCAATGTTAGTAACATTTTCATAATCACATTATGTTTTATTTCCATACAAATAACACTACCACACGCGCATGACCTAACCATGTTTACGTACAACGTTCTTAGATTGGTCTTCAGCAACACATGCTTGTCGTAAGAGCCATGACAGCATCGGGATGGTCAGGCTTGCTGACCTTTGATTGTTGGTTCGAATCCCGGTTCGCCCCGATTATGTTTCTTGGTTTGTCAGCACCATTCCTGTGCTCGTGGGTTTCACCGAAGTGGTAAACGCCTGAGACCTGCATCACTTCGGGCTTTCCTCCCACATTAAGTTGACACACCGTGATATAACTGGAATATTGTTAAAAGCGACGTTAAACCCAACGCACTCACTCACTCACTCTCCGGTTTTAATTTGTTAATGGTAAGAGCAACAGATAAGAATAAGAATTTATGTAATGAGACGATCTTGTCTATGTGTCGTTGTTTAGGTTTGTATCTCCACCCTTATTACTGTACGTGTCCCTTAGTCGAGAAGTGTCACCTTTTGATTTGCCAATTTGGGATACTGTACATCCGGCTTCGTCAAGTTATCAGTGTGCTACTGGTTATCTATTACCTATTGCTGTTAACGTCAAACTGCTGCTCATCGCAACATATCATGCATATATACCCCTCTTCACATGGGGACCACATCCGTGGTCAATTGTGGATCGTCCGCCCGGAGAACGGAAGGTCCGGCGTTCGATCCCTGGCCGCCTCATACCATTAGACGTTAAAAGTGGTACTTGTTGTTACCCTGTCTGGCGCTCGGCATTTAGGGGCTAAAACAAGGACTGGTCGGCTTGGATTCATTATACTGTGTCTAAATGGGGTATCCATGTTAAACTGCGGCGTGGTATCTCAGTGGGCTGGCACTATAATATCATCTTCCCGAGGCAAGGGAGTTAACTGTCTGTAAAAGTCCAGTTTCCACCCTTGCCGTGTTGGCGGTTCACACGTTTGCAAATCCTCCAATCGATCGAAATCTGCTCGGCGGCTTACGAACCGGTTGTCGATTTCGTAACGCGATTTTGATTGGACTATGCATTAGACTTGTTAGTAAGCCAAAATACAACTCCATAATTCCCGCCTAGTTCGGAAAGGGTGGAAACTGGACTTTTATAGTCAGTTAACTCCCTTGCCTCGGGAAGATGTAATATCGGCATTAGTCCGGACTAGTGCACACACGTGCATGCACTTCGCAATATATGTACAATAATTTTGGATGTGACATTAAACCCCATTTCACCTGGTTGTAGTTCCTGTTTGGTAATGGTTTAAGAATCTGCATTGAAACGTCGTTATATACAATAAACCATACTATATATAATATATATGTATAATTTAAAAAAAAAAAAAATTTAAGAAATATATTTCATTCCAAAGTAAACATAATTTATGGTTAACAGCTTCTTAAATTACTGTAAATTTCGGAATAGAAAACAGTATAAGGACCGAAACCTCACCTTTACAGTTAATGAAGAAGTTGTTATCCATAAATTGTGTCTACTCTGTATAGATTCCGATTTGAAAAACAAACCAACATTTTTACTGCAGAATATTTTTATATCATGTTTCACATTAGGGAAATAGATGTGATTAAAACAACTCACCTCCTGGTTGTGAAGTCCAAGAGCATGGCTGTGTGAACCTACAACTTACACTGAGGACTAACAAAGGAACTGCTTCAGTGAAGCTCGGGCGGTTGACCTGAGATGAAATTTATAACGTGGTTGATTTGATGGACTGAGTGCCCATGTACCTTGTGACAGTTGACAGGGTTCGACAAGCACGTGTTTCAGTCCAATCATGCCCAGCGGATATGCTGTAGTCAATACATATCTAAAAAAACTCACCTATCTGCGTGTGACATCGAAATACAAGAGCGGGACTGTACTACTGTCCCCTGTGCTTCGGGCGAGTGGATCAATTGAAAAGATTTAATACTTGTCATGGTTGAGTAACTGGATCACTGGGCGTTACAATTGCGGTCAAAGGGATGCATACTTGTCACTGACTGTCAAATATGGAAGATTGCTAACAACAGACTCAGTCAAGGGACAGATTGTGCTAACAGCACATCGCCCAAGGTCATCAGACCAAGACGATGGATTGTAAGAGTAGGGGTTGTTGTCAAAACGCCAGTCAGTAATACTCCAGTTATTACTTGGCGGATATAAGGGGATGGGGATAGGAAAATTCCCACGTCACCCTTCTGGTGCGGGGGGCAGGGCTGGCCCAGTCGTCTAAGGCGCCGCGATTCGCTGTGCAGAGTTGCGTCCCTTGGGCACGCCAGAAACCTATGATTGTAGGTTCGAATCCCGGTTCGCCCCGATTATGTTTCTAGGTTTGTCGGCACCATATCCGTGCTTGTGGGTTTCACCGAAGTGGTAAACGTCTGACACCTGCATCCGACGGGGTTTCCTCCCATATTAAGCTGACACGCCGCGATATAACTGGAATACTGTTAAAAGCGGCGTTAAACCCAACTCACTCACCCTTCTGGGGTGTGTATAAACCAAGCAGCAAAGTTCACATTTCCTCACCAACCACAATTTTCATCCCTTCAAACCACACAGCAAAATCAATATACAGCATCTTAGGATGTCCTCAAGGACATTTCCCGGTAATTTCAAGGAGGATTTGTTAACAGTTGTTTTGGTCGATGGGATGTCGCGGACCGACATGGGTAGAATTAGGAGGTGCACAGAGTGGCACCAGGATGGCGTGCGGCAAGCCTTTTAGCGTGGAACTCACCAGCTCAGTGTTTTCAGGTAATGAAGATATTGAGATTAATGGAAATTATTAGCTGAGTGTATTTCCGTATCGTAAATATCATATACTAGAAAACAAAGTATCATGCGAGCCTTAATGTATAGAGCTTGAAATTAGTTCCACTTCGTCAACCTCCTGAGATCTGACCAGAACAACGAGACAGTACGAGGCTGGAGGCACGTGACCTCCTAAAAGACCAAAGTACAGACAGATTAAGACCAGATTCAAGCAGTTGAAGAAGTGGCTCTAGACTGACAGGATCTCTTGGATGGAATTTGCGGACGAAGTATCCTGTGATCTTCAATTTAGCTGATTTTGAATAGTATTCAAAGTTTACAGCCCAAATGCACATGTATAATTCATTATTAATTTACATTGTACAAACAAAAGTATATGCATAAATAACACGCTCTATTGTGCGCGAACATACTGAAGTATCATGAACATGCCATGTATCAAATACATATTTGGTATTTCTATATTTGCTTATATGTTGGTGCATGTTAAATCAGTTGTAGTGTTTATAATAACAAGTATTTTTATTTTATTATTAAATATACTCTACAGTCAATATTGAAAAAGTAAAAAATATATTGAAATATATGCTTTATTGTCATTGTTCATGTAATTTGATGTTAATTCGGAGTTTCACCAGACATTCTGTTAGTATTGGCCCAAACTGAAAGAATGTCGACCCCGTGGAACCCCAACGTTTCCTGACATACATATTTGCCAGATCGTACTACATGCGAACACTATGTTGTTTGTTTGTTTGTTTGTTTGTTTAACGCCGCACTCAGCAATATTCCAGCTATATGACGGCGGTCTGTAAATAATCGAGTCTGGACCAGACAATCCAGTGATAAGAGCATCCATCTACGCAATTGGGATACGATGACATGCATCATTGATCGTTACAGCCGTTAGTCGCCTCTTACGACAAGCATAGTCGCCTTTTACGGCAAGGACAGGTTGGTGAAGACCTATTCTACCCCGGATCTTCACGGGGATATTGCTCCTTTCATTTTGTACATATAGTTGTGATAAAAAAAACTATTAAAAAAACAATATTGCCCCCTCTCATTTTGTTTATCCTAAACAAAGTATGTTGCTTTTACATCGGCACTTCACGCCCAGATATTGGTGTATTCCGTCTGCTTCAGTAAACCTCAAAAGTCAAAAAGTTTATTCCAAAACAAGTCTAAAAGTCAAAGTTTATTCCAAAACATCTCACCGTGATGCATGGCTACGTACTTGTATTAATGCATAATATCACGGCTGTAGAGTTTCTTTTGTTGCTGGGGGCACGGGTGGCCCAGTCGTCCAAGGCGCCGCGATTAGTTGTGCAGAGTTGCGTCCCTTGGGCACGCCAGAAACCTATGATTGTGGGTTCGAATCCCGGTTCGCCCCGATTATGTTTCTAGGTTTGTCAGCACCATACCCGTGCTCGTGGGTTTCACCGAAGTGGTAAACGTCTGAGAACTGCATCACATCGGGCTTTCCTCCCACAATAAGCTGACACGCCTTGATATAACTGGAATTTTGTTAAAAGTGGCGTTAAACACAACTCACTCACTTAAGTGTCACACGCATAAAATATTTGACACATGCCTCACACTCCCATGCGTCACAACCCAACTCACTCACTCACTCTAGTGAGGCAGTTAAACCTCTGAGTGTTGTTGAATCTCTTAAGTCACACCCCTGTCGACCAACAGTGAACTTCACATTCCCATGCGTCACCCCTCTTTTCTTGCAAACCATGAAAGATTAGATTTGATTGACGAGATGGTACTTCAATGCTGTCATTTCTGGATTCCAGGGCATCAAGTTTCTGTTTGAAAAATGTGTTTTCCTCTTGAAGCTCTCTAAGCTTGTCTGCATAGTTCTTTGTAGATCTTTCCATCTTGTCGTTAAGGTAAGGCAATATGGTGTTTGTATTGCTTTGAATGTTACAGTGATTTGGTTTGTTTGTTGTTTAACGCCGCACTCAGCAATATTCCAATCGGTCTGTAAATAATCGAGTCTGGACCAGACAATCCAGTGATTGTCATCGCGAGCATCAATCCACGCAAATGGGATACGACGACATGCATCAAGCAAGTCAGCGAGCCTGATCACCCGATCCCTTTAGTCGCCTCTTACGTCAAGCATAGTCGCCTTTTACGGCAAGCATGGGTTGCTGAAGACCTATTCTACCCCGGTTCTTCACGGGTTGAATGTTACAGTGAAGATCTAGTGCTGATTGGCTATATAAAGTGTCAGTACGTGTCACACACCACCCAGAAACATTTTGTGCAGATGACGATTCTTGTACTCTTCAAATCTTAATGTTTGCTTTAAATCCAATACAAGGAACACGAAACAATTATATATCTAACTGAAATCCTTTCCCGTCTTGTTCTTAGGAGGACCGGTCGGGTAGCCTAGTGGTTAAAGCGTTGGCTCATCACGCCGAAGATCCGGGTTCGATTCCCGACATGGGTACAATGTGTGAAGCCCATTTCTGGTGTCCCCCGCCGTGATATTGCTGGAATATTGCTAAAAGCGGCGTAAAATCAAACTCACTCATTGTTCTTTGTTTAGATGACTTGAAGTGTACAGTTTGTTTTACAAACACAGACATCTAGATATTATAAGAGATGGAGTTCATGGTTTGTCTACACTTTATTAGACATTTCAGTCAATATTTCATTTCATGTTCACTGTCAATCATATGACTTGTCAATCATTTCACAGCCAATTTAACACATACAGGCAGCTCATATAGACACAATTATTCCATGTGGGCGTATTACAATATAAAATACGACATCTAAATGTAGATGTGTTAAACAGAGTTCCACAAGCGTTGTGATCAATGTTGTTATTCACAAAAGTGTACAACTGCTAAACTAAGTCCTCATATTTCCTTCCGGCTATAGTTCTGTTTGACATTCTACAGCCGGGTATCAAATGATTTCTCGGCGTGTTTGTTGCTGTACTTCATTTCCTTCTTCCTGGCCAATCGGTACTGCACAAGCATTCCACAGCACAGGCAGAAACCTGCAGAAACGAACAAGAACAATACAAAATTCAAAATATTTGCATATTTTTGTAAAGCATGGTGGCAGCCCTGAAATGGTGGTTGAATATATAAATGCAGCATTTCAATTGAACTAACCGCTGACACTGCAATAAATCACCCCCAAAAAGAGGAAAATTCTAGGGGGCTGGGTAAATATTTTAAACATTTGATTGAATTTTAAGCAATTTCGTGCAGTTTGGACAACATTCACACCGAGAAATGTAATACGTTAATGGCAAAAAAGGTGGCGGATGCAGTAAAACTTCGAAGTTAAATCGGGCATAGCTTCCGCGAACCCGGCTACCCACCGGGTCTGAGAGCAATACTGCCATAAACGTCACCCCCATACCCCAGATACAAGGACAGCTGTCACAAACGTGCAATGTCTGACCCTTTCCTCATGCTGAAAAAAACTTACCTTGTATTTACTTACCTTTTGTTAAATAAAAACCAAAACAACATTGCAAACATAAGACATTCATACAACATACATCGATGACATGCAACAACCAAGTCAGGGAGCCTGACCACCCGATCCCGTTTGTCGCCTTTTACGACAAGCATAGTCGCCTTTTACAGCCAGCATGGGTTGTTGAAGGCCTATTCTACCCCGGATCTTCACGGGTCGCGTGTCAAGATGATGAGATGTGATTGGTCCACGTGATCTCGATAAACTACTGTGTAACCCGCCTTGGAGGGGAATACATTTCTGATTGGCAGAATAAATCCCTTATACCGCGCTTCAAAGCAAAAAGCCGCACGCTTTTTCCGATTCAATGAAAGTCACGTGACATAGCACAAGTTAACCTCTGCTCAATCGAACAGCTGTTTTCTTTTTTAAATTTGTCTTCCTTCTTTAACAATGTCACATTGAAACATGTTGGTTAGATACATTCGTTAGCGAGCCGGAGGCGAGTGGTATAAAACATAACGAGCGACGAATAAAACCCCATGTACCCCGAGTGATACTGCTACAATTTATATTATCAAGGCGGATCTTGGACGAACGAACACCAGATTCCATCATGTGCCACTCCAGCCCCCAGCCCCAACCTCTTCCCCACTAAACCTACTAGGAGTATATTTGTGAACGTACTGAATATTATTCCTCCGGCGCCTATGTAGAGAATCCCTTGCCATCCAATGGTGGATTTCAGTTGTGACGTCAGAAGTGCGCCTGTCAGCTGAACTACGATCTGGAACAGAGATAAATAGATGAGGAGGGGGCCCGTTAGGTTCCGCCCATTTGATGGTCTTGGGGCCCGTGATTTTGTATCGAGACTGAATATTTTTTTCAGCTGCAGCTGCAAAATCAGACAATTTTAAATTAAATCTATGAGCCTAAATACGTTTGTTTTCTTTATAAAAAAAACTTGCAACAAAGTATTTTGGTGGCAGACAATTTCCCTTTTTTTACAACGTCTATAATTAGATTGGGCACCAGCACTCGGTGCATCGTCCTCCTTTCAATGATAAGGAAGCGCACGCAGTTGATGTCGTTGACTCACCTGGCAGGTGAAGAGCAGGCCGTAGTTGACGCTGTAGTATTTCTGACCATACAGAGACACTGTCAGTGAGGGCATGAGGGCGTAGAAGCCTGAAAACGTCCCGTAGATTAGACACAGCCAAATCATCAGCATCACTTTCCCGCCATATTCACACAAGGTGAAGGTCGCCCCTGCTGTTCCGAACACGCCGATGACAATGGTGAGTGATTCCTGTGAATCGAGTAATTCGGGTGATTGAGGTCATTCATTCAAAGTGTGTTGTATAATTGTAGGGCATGTGAAAAACATGAATGAGGAATGTGAAAGGTTAGTTGGTTGGTAGATTTGTAGAGTATGTGAAAGAACATACGGATGTGATCATTCATTCTTAGTCTATTACTAGATATGTAGGGTATCTGAAAGAACATATGAATGAGGTCATTCATCCATAGTCTGTTACTAGATATGTAGGGTATCTGAAGAACATATGAATGAGGTCATTCATCCATAGTCTGTTACTAGATCTGTAGGGTATCTGAAGAACATATGAATGAGGTCATTCATCCATAGTCTATTACTATATGAAAGAACATATGAATGAGGTCATTCATCCATAGTCTGTTACTAGATCTGTAGGGTATATGAAAGAACATATGAATGAGGTCATTCATCCATAGTCTCTTACTATCTGAAAGAACATATGAATGAGGTCATTCATCCATAGTCTGTTACTAGATCTGTAGGGTATCTGAAAGAACATATTTATGAGGTCATTTATCCTCAGTTTGTTAGTCGTGGTGTAGGGTATGTGAGAGAACATATTTATGAGGTCATTCTAAGAAAACATGCGTGCTGTCACATTTCAACAACAGCGGTCGTATTACAGGCTATACACATATGTTCTGTACTGTTTACACCTATAGTTGGTTTTGTGGGGAGGTGACTGACCTTCATTTAGATATCGAGTCATATGTTCAAGCACGGACCCCTGAAGATTCGGGGTAGAATAGATTTTCAGCAACCCATGCTTGCCATAAGAAGGTGACTATGCTTGTCGTAAAAGGATCGGGATCGGGTGGTCAGGATCGCTGACTTGGTTGATGCATGTCATCTATCCCAATTGCGTGGATCGATTCTCATGATGTCAATCACTGGATCGTTTGGCCCAGACTCTATTATTTACAGACCGCCGTCATATAGCCGGAGTTTTGCTGAGCGCGGCGTTAAACAACAAACAAACAAACAAACAAACGAACAAAACAAGTTGAAGCACGAAAGGTTCTCAACACTACAAACTTATACAAAGTAAAAGACGTTTGGGGAGTATAGGTCTCTAAAACTTGAAACAAAGTGCAGAAAGAGGCACATCTATTGAAAGATATAAACTGTTTAGGTGTATTAACTAAACTTGAAACTAATCGAAAGAGGCAAGTCCGTTGAATGCTGCAGCATGAGCTCGTTATCCACATCATGTGGAGATAATGCTTTTCCTTCTTGCAGAAAATGCAAATATCGACATATTCGTCCACATGATGCCCACTTCCAATAGTATCAGTTTGTACAAATTGTACAGGAGTTTCAAAGAAAATGAAACACACGAAATTCAAATTGTAAGACATGCATACACCTACTTGTAAATATTTTTTCGTTCAAGAACCAGAGACCTTCAAGCAAATAAACTACGATGCCTTTGACTCCCCTCAATAAACGTCCCTGGACTTACCCTGTAGCCTATCTTGTCCCCCACGGCTCCCCAAAATGGCCTGCCCAGAGCATTAAAGGCTGATCCGACAGAGCCCGCGAGAGCCAGAAAATGGTCATCTTTGATGAAGGTCTGTGAAAATGTCTGAAACAAAACCCAATACACGCCTGCTTAGATGCGAAAGGAAAGCACATTACTTTCAAATCGATAATGTTGCGAGATATTTTCTCCGTTTTTCTTTAGTTCTGCAAAAGTTATTTTCATTTTTAAGTTTCATCTGGGAGTTTGGTCTTAGGAGTCTAAGGAGCCGCTAGTCGCTGTGCGAATGATGTTCCTCAGGCGTGTCAAGACCCTATGGTCGTGAGGTCGGATCCAAGAGTCAACCTCAATATGACGCTTGGTCAACACCATATTTCTGGTCGTGTTTTATGTGGAATTATGTCCACAATCGGCTTAAAACCAAACACACTCACTCAGTCTTACCTTGTAGAAGTTCATCACGAAAAAGATGCCAAGGACCACACAGCCGTAGATGACCCACAGCAAGTAGAATAGCTTCGACCGTAGGACCTGGCGCGGTGTGTAGTTGCCGTCGTCGTCCTCAGTGATACCACTGGGGACAGCCATGCAAAGGTTGTTTAGTCAGTATTACGTGCTTATATCAATGTCAACGTGTAGTCGCATAATAAATTTTTCTTGGGATGAACATTTGACCTGCCTTTGCGTGTGTTTGTGACGGCTATCACTGGTGAGCAGGATACGCCTTTTCGCCAACACCTGGTATCATCACTATTTTACAGTGATTATTAAACACGTATTTATGATATAGGCGAAATCGTACAATGGGCGTTTAGTACAGATGTCTTATGATTTTAGGGAAATGTTTCTTTTTGTCGCTAATATTTCAATATTGAGTAAGGGAGGTTCACCCTTTTGTGGTTTGCTTTATTAAAGTCAAGGGATGAGGGGTTGAAAGCTATGGAAACAACTGGACAGTGAAGTTGATTTGAGAACCCTGTAGGCAATACAAGAAACCGCCCTATACAATTAACAACGCTAAATTGAATCACCCTGGTGAATATTGGCCCTTTAGAAACCAATGTTGAACTACACAATAAGTTAGAGTTGGTCTGCTAGCATGTCTACTCTCCCGTCTGCAAATTTCTTGACCACTGGCGTTCAAGAGGACGCCGCCTTAGCCATTTAATGTCCATCAATCAGTATTTTACATCCAGCATATCTAATAAATAATATCATTTTTTATCTTCACTTATGTAACTCTCCGAATAAGGAATAACGAGATATCTAGCCTAATACGAATTGAGTATTTTCCGGTTTTATGGTAAAATTGTTAAAGGGAACTGAGGCACAAAATTGGGCTGGATTCAAAATAGTTTCAAAATATCAGGGAATCTTCCTTATACAAAGAGATACAGAAATATAAAACGTCAATGCAAGTCTTGTTTATCCATCGTAACCGATTCCATTTGGCGTTAAATGTCAAAAATGGTATGCCTACCCAGTGCCGAAAAAAAGTCATGTGAAACCATAATTCATTTTTAACTGGTTTCACCACGTGGCCACCCCATGGCATCATATTAATAGTTACCTGTCTGTGTTGGATATTGTGTCGAGATCTTCTTTCGACTTTTCATCTAGCTTCTTCTCGCAGTCAGGACTCTTCTCTATTGCCTTCTCCACATTTTCTTCCTGTATGGTCAAATCATCACGGTACAATGTCGAGCATGCCTTAATGTCGTTTTAATTAAGAATTGACTTCAACATTATTTTTATAGAAGCCAATGCATATAATAAATATTAAGTTAACAGAAATAACTTCACAGACAACGTATTCTGTCTTTAACACAAAACATGTAGACAATGGTACATCAACGACATCATTCAGCGCATTGATGCAGCACAAGCGCCGAAGATAGTCCGCTGGCAGGCGTGGCCTAAGCATATTTGTTTTGGCTTTATAGGAAACATCAACGCCAATAAACACAGCCATCAAATGCCATGGAATCACTTGCAATTTATTTACATGAATGTTGTCAATTTCTGTATTATATGAACGTTAACTTTATCTAAATCCGTTGTTTGAGAGGCTTGAGGCTTAATGTTATCCTGACCAACAGAACTAGCTCACTGTATTTTCTCTCTTGACAGTCACAAATTAACGATCTATCCACATCGGCACATTTGTAATGAGTATTTTGTATTTTTGCTTGTCTGTTTGATCAAGTTTGAATGATTTTGTACAAAATCCAGTGTATATAAGGTATAAGTATATAAGTATATATACCTATGTTGTTAAGCACTATCCATCACTTGCTTGATAAAGGTGTCACCGAAACGTCGCACTAATTGTAATAAAGAAGTTGTTCATCCATAGAAACTTGTCTTACTTTATTATACCAACTTCCAAATGCCACTGAAAGAAGACAAAATCCAGTGGTCCTATTTTTTCGTCGGCCATTGTGGCGGCCATCTTGGATTTCAAAATGACATTTTACGCTATATTTAATCACTAAAATACTTCTAATGTCACAAAAACGTCATTGTCACCTAACATGGTATGTGATGGTAGTCTGCCCTGAACCTGGAATCGGAAGTCATGTCCGAGGTCAGAAATACTTACAGCGGAGTGGTTGAAATACACTCAAAGATCACATTCCGGGAAATGCCCTCAATTTATACACTCCGGCGCAGTGGTGACTCAGTATAACACCACTGCCACGGGCTAATTTGCATATCTCGTGACCGGACTTTTCGCTTGTTTGTAAACAAACGCGCTTTTCAGGTATCAGTATAAAACGCACAAATGCAAGTATTTGAGGGCGCTTCATTAATTGTTTTGCATAATTATATAGATATGCTACTACAACTGCGACAGTGAGTTGAATGACAATATATATTGATACATCAAAGTGACCGTATCGCTAGCTCTCCGTTGGGCTTCGATGACAGCACGTGGAGCCGTACAACCAATGTAAACAAAGGATAACTACGCAAAAACAAGTAGATGTTCACATATAGGGATACTTTCTTAATGAACCGTAACCATTCTTTGACATTTGTTCATGAAAATGTGTAGACTTGTCAAACATGAAAGGAATGAAAAGCATATGCAATATCGTGAATGGACTGTGAAAGATGTGACGAATCGTCACATGGCGCTGGCCTGTGGCAGAGGTACTATGCTGGCTGGCTGCCGGCCGCATGGAACTCTGGGTAGGAGAGTGTTCTTAAAATACCTTGGTTCCGTCTTCGGGCATAACAAATATATTCAACTCCAGCAGTCCCTGCTTGGTAGGTTTAAACGAAAGTGTTCCGAATACAACACATTTGCCAATTACAAACACCCATTTTGCAATATGGTGAAATAATTCTGACAGTGAATGTGATATATTTAACCAATACAAAGGTATACACAGCGAATAGTATGGAGGTATTCTTTAAACAAAAGTTATGTGTGCATTCTGACTTATTTGTCGTGTTAAAATTGATCGACAGTGATCGAGTCTTTTCATAGGTTACGGAAAGGGACGAGTGCCCACGAATGAAAGGAATGCTGACCTGTTTGGGCGTGACTGTAGGCGTGACAGTAGGCGTGGCTATGAGAAAGATGACGGCGAGGAGCTGGATAGTTGTGTAGACCCCGCCTAACATCAGAAAGCAGTAGGGTACTCTGTCCAGTAGGGAGCCCTGTGTGAAGTACCTAGAAAGTCGGAGACAACACTGGTATAGCATGATTAATTACAGAAACAGTTAATGTGTATATTGGTTCAGATTATATCAGTCACGTGCCTCAGAGGGTTTACTAAACAACCAGTGGTGTGATTAGCGGATTTGCTGTAACAACTACCTGTCTTTGCTTAACCTCAACTGCACGGCCTTGCATACACTACGTTCTGCTTTGCTATTTTTAACCATCCAATCAAATCCTGCGAGAGGGAAAACAGGGAGAGTTGAGACCAATCAGCTGTCGGATTACATCGCACAAACGGCTGTATCTAGGTTAATTTGTCTTTCAATATATTATAATAAAAAGGGATCCAGATAATCTCTTCAATTTCTGAAACTGAAGAAATGCAGACTTGCCAACGTTATGTAAAGTAGAAGAGACTTGAATGGGAGTGTTCGGATGTGTTCAGCAACCCATGCTTGTCGTAAAGGGCGGCTATGCTTGACTTAAGAGGCGACTAAGGGGATCGGGTGGTCAGGCTCGCTGACTTGGTTGATGCATGTCATCGTATCCCAATTGCGCGGATCGATGCTCATGATGTCAATCATTGGATTGTCTGGCCCAGACTCGATTATTTACAGACCGCCGTCATATAGCTGGAACATTGCTAAGTGCAGCGATAAACAACAAACCATCATAACAAATCGGATGTGTTCATTACAGGGTCCATATGAGAGACAAAGACAGGTCAATGTTGTTGTTTTTTGAAAATCAAATGAAGTGTGTTGTAGGCAGAAAATTGACTGAGAGAGGATTTTGATGTTTTGGACCCCTCTCCTCTAAAGAAATGCTGTACCCGCCCACAGACATAGCGAACCGTGAAGATCTGTAACCGTCGACATGTGGAATAGATCTTCAGCAACCCATTCTTGTCGCAAAAGGCGACTATGCTTGTCGTGAGAGGCGACTAACGGGATCGGGTGGTCAGGCTCGCTGACTTGGTTGAAGCATGTCATCGATCCAAGTTGCCTGGATGGATGCTCATGACATCAATCACTGGATTGTCTGGTCTAGATTCGATTATTTACACACAGCCGTCACATAGCTGGAATATTGCTGAGTTCGGCGTAAAACAACAAACCAACCATCCTTAGACGTTGCGTTAGGTGCAGCACCTCAAATCATCAGTTAACTGGTTTTCTGTCAGTAGTATATATACATATGGAAACTATAAGTAGCATCGTGACTTAACGTATCCCATGGGAGTTAGTTTCCAGAGAAAAAAAAAGCAACCCGTGGATATGTAAGTCAATACAACACGTAAAGGTATGGTGAGGTGAAATTGGGTTTAACGTCGCGTCCAAGATTATTGCACTTATATAGCGACGTGTGTGTTTGTGTGACTGCTTGTACTAGTCCGGACTCATGCCGATTGATAAGATACCATGCCGCAGTTTAACATGAATACCTCATTCAGCCACAGTATACTGACTCCGAGCCGACCAGTCCTTGTTTTAGCCCCTTAATGCCGAGCGCCAGACAGGGTAACAGCCTGTATCATCTTTTAACGTCTTTTGGTAGGACGCGGCCGGGGATCGAACCCCGGACCTTCCGTTCTCCGGGCGGACGCTCTACCACTAGACCACGGAGGCGGTAACACGTAAAGAATTCCCGCCTTACAAACACATCAAAGATCACATCCTCTCAAGTGAGCCAGCGGAACCAGAATTATCCGTGCAGTCGATAACGTCAGAAGGGATGTAGTCATGCATAAATTCCACGTGCTCCGTGTCACACTCCACATCATTCCCCTGTTCAAAGGAATGAATTCTGCCGTTGCACGTGGAACGCCTACTGTCCAAAAACGCGGTTTGGTGACAGGAGAATAACACTTACAGATCATCTTTGATTGTTTCATCGGGGGACAAGTTGTCAGGGTTGATGAAGGCCGTGATGACTTGGTTGAACACGAAGGTTCCAAAACCAATTCCACAGATAATGATTCCTGTTACTAGACCAGATCTGTTCGGAAACCACTGAAACACAATTTTTGTGTGTATGTAAGGTATAAATACTTCCGGTTATCCGGGCTGAATATAATTTGTAATCATCCCGCACAAAGCGGAAGAGAGAAGAGAAAGAAATCTTAAACTAAATAAAACTCAGCTTGTGAAAATTCAAGAACAAAAGGCGTGTTCCAGACGGTCCGGACGCCCCTCCCCTCTTTTGAAAAACAAATGTAGAATGTTTCCGACAGTAAAATTGACTGAGAGAGGATTTTGATATTTTGGACCCTTCCCTTTAAAAATGCTTGAGAATAACAATCTACGTCGAACCAGTGACCGCACGGTGCAGTAACACGGACCCTGTTATTTGATCCGACACTAGCGTATGTGCAGACCATATGCACGGAATATGAAAAAAAGTGCAATGTTTTATCAGATGTCTTTAGAAGTATGTGACCGTAAGTTGATGCTAATGTACAATTTGTTTGTTGTTTAACGCCGCACTCAGCAATATTCCAGCTATATGACGACGGTTTGTAAATAATCGAGTCGAGTCTGGACCAGAGAATCCAGTGACTGACATCATGAGCATCGATCTACGCAATTGGGATACGATGACATGCATCAAACAAGTCAGCGAGCCTGACCACCCGTCCCGTTAGTCGCCCTTTATGACAAGCATTGTCGCTATTTACGACAAGCATGGGTTGCTGAAGACCTATTCTATCCCGGATCTTCACGGGTTCTTGAAGAGTCACCGGGTTCTAACGGAGCTTAGGAGTTTGGTAAGTACGGGAGATTTGTGGCAAAACAGTAGTCAATCATGAATGAAAAATGCATTTGAACGAGTATTTTTTCGTCTACGTGTCTCTGTGTTGATATAACATTCTGAACACCTTTTTTCTCATTGATATTTGTTAAAATTTGAATTTGAATGAACAGTGTAATTTTCTGTCAGATATGAGCTTCTGTTGACATTTTCTTTCCTAATTCATTCTTTGATGCCAAACTCACCTCAACAAATTTGACATTTTGTCCATTGTTTCGGACAAATGCATCTATAGTCACGCATGTTGTACAACATAAGTTGACGATAAAGAAAAAAACAAAAACTTCTGTATTTACTGATGAATAAGAATGTAGTTTTCATTTCATCACAATTTGAATTTTTCTTCAACTGTTTTACAGGGACCATATATCGGTATGTGGCCTCTGGTTTTTATTATCAAGTGTTTTAGTCATCAGAAGCCTTGTGCTTATTCATGTGATCGGGAAAGGCATGTCACACAAGGGGCCATTTCTCATGTTAATGTAATTGCAATGGTCCATTCTTCTACCTGCAATTAAAATAATCAAACTTTCAACGGGCCATTATTGAGAAAATGGAGCAAGTGACCTATGCCTTCCCCAACTACATAACATAGTTGCTGACATGTTTTACCGCCGTGTAAGGTAATTTATTTGTGTTGTATACGTTTATGTGTTCTGTCAACTGCAATCTGTTATATGGGTGCACCTTATATAATTAGTGTCAAACTGTCCATTGTTAGATAAATGTTTTTTTTGTTTGTTGTTGTTCATCGCAGTCAGCACCGTTCAAGCCTGTTCTCGGTAGTCGGTAAATACTCGAGTCCAATGACTGATACTGTGAATAACGCCCCGTCGGATATGGAGGCACGCAATCACCGCACGTCACACACACGCACACACACACACACACACACACACACACACACACACACACACACACTCTCTCTCTCTCTCTCTCTCTCTCTCTCTCTGTCTCTCTCTCTCTCTCTCATCGCGCGTCAATATTTTGCAACTGACCTTGAGGGCACATTTCACAGCTCCAGGGTACGCGATACTTTTTCCAGCACCATTAATGACGCCATAGGTCAAGGCCGTCAAGATGAGGGAATGTTGCATGGTGAAGTATGTGAGGAGCATTCCAGAACTGGAAGAGTATGTTACGTCAGTTTATACAATGGGAACCAGCCTTTCATAAATATACATAAAATATACAAACATATACATATGTACATTATACATATATAAATATAAATATTTCATAATAAATTCATATCAATATTGTATAGAGATATAGCACTGTGACGAGCGAACGTTTTTCCCACTGGCCTACACCATCGTCCCTTAATGCGATTATATTGCGCGTTGTGACGCCATCAGCATCATGACGTTCACTATGGTTTGGGATTGACAATCTGCTTGTCTCGAGGTGTGAATAAATGGACTCGAGTCACCGAGATTTAGTGGCTTGTCACGGCTTGACAGTTTCATGTTGAAGGAAAGTCCGAAATGATGCATCTCTTAGACGTCTACAACAATGTTTGTTTGGTTGTTGTTTAACGCCGCACACAGCAGTATTTCAGCTATATGACGGCGTTCTACCGTAATGAAACCCACAGGTATGGTGCTGACAAACCTAGAAACATAATCAGGGCGAACCAGGATTCGAACTCACGACCATGGATTTCTGGCAACCCAATGAATAGATACACTCTGGCAAGTGTGGGTTCGAATCCCGCACGGGACTCAACCTAAAAGAAGTACTAGAATCTGTACTTTACTAAGAAAGTGTTATCCCAAATTTAACATTTGTTAAACCCAATGAATGCAAATCTGCTCAGCCTATTACGGCACCTTAAACGATTGGTTCATCCTTGGCCTGTAAAGTTCTGTGTTTTAAGAACTATCTATCTACCATACTGATCGAGTAATACCTGAAGATCAGTCCACCTATCAGCGTAGAAATCCTCGGAGACAGTTTTTGTTCTATCCAGCCCAATATGGGCATAAAAAATGCCATGGTCAAATAGTTCGCTGTGGAGATCCAGACAGTTTCCGAGTACTGGGTGTTATTCGACTCACTTCTGGCGCGCAGGTATGACGTCAGATAGGGGGTCATGTTGCCTGGAAACAAGGGAAGTAATCGTATGAATACTGATGGGGGAAAAGAGGGAATGGTCCTTAGGGGAAAGGTATGAATGATGTCTTATTTGTTGACAATTTATTCTCAAGATACCACCATTGTACTCCATGGTGTATTTGTAATTTGTTCTAACTTAGTTCGGTATTGATTGGTTCACTACACTGAGAAGCGTTTTGCTAAATCGGTGTAGGTTCTGGTGTATTGTGTGTTCTGCTATAATGGTGTAGGTTCTGGTGTATTGTGTGTTCTGCTATATCGGTGTAGGTTCTGGTGTATTGTGTGTTCTGCTATATCGGTGTAGGTTCTGGTGTATTGTGTGTTCTGCTATATCAGTGTAGGTTCTGGTGTATTGTGTGTTCTGCTATATCAGTGTAGGTTCTGGTGTATTGTGTGTTCTGCTATATCGGTGTAGGTTCTGGTGTATTGTGTGTTCTGCTATATCGGTGTAGGTTCTGGTGTATTGTGTGTTCTGCTATATCGGTGTAGGTTCTGGTGTATTGTGTGTTCTGCTATATCGGTGTAGGTTCTGGTGTATTGTGTGTTCTGCTATATCGGTGTAGGTTCTGGTGTATTGTGTGTTCTGCTATATCGGTGTAGGTTCTGGTGTATTGTGTGTTCTGCTATATCAGTGTAGGTTCTGGTGTATTGTGTGTTCTGCTATATCGGTGTAGGTTCTGGTGTATTGTGTGTTCTGCTATATCAGTGTAGGTTCTGGTGTATTGTGTGTTCTGCTATATCGGTGTAGGTTCTGGTGTATTGTGTGTTCTGCTATATCAGTGTAGGTTCTGGTGTATTGTGTGTTCGGCTATATCGGTGTAGGTTCTGGTGTATTGTGTGTTCGGCTATATCGGTGTAGGTTCTGGCGTATTGTTTGTTCTACTATATCGGTGTAGGTTCAGGCGTATTGTTTGTTCTACTATATCGGTGTAGGTTCAGGCGTATTGTTTGTTCTACTATATCGGTGTAGGTTCTGGTGTATTGTGTGTTCGGCTATATCGGTGTAGGTTCTGGTGTATTGTTTGTTCTACTATATCGGTGTAGGTTCTGGTGTATTGTTTGTTCTGCTATATCGGTGTAGGTTCTGGCGTATTGTTTGTTCTACTATATCGGTGTAGGTTCTGGTGTATTGTGTGTTCGGCTATATCGGTGTAGGTTCAGGCGTATTATGTGTTCTGCTATATCGGTGTAGGTTCTGGCGTATTGTTTGTTCTACTATATCGGTGTAGGTTCAGGCGTATTGTTTGTTCTACTATATCGGTGTAGGTTCTGGTGTATTGTGTGTTCGGCTATATCGGTGTAGGTTCTGGTGTATTGTTTGTTCTACTATATCGGTGTAGGTTCTGGTGTATTGTTTGTTCGGCTATATCGGTGTAGGTTCTGGCGTATTGTTTGTTCTACTATATCGGTGTAGGTTCTGGTGTATTGTGTGTTCTGCTATATCGGTGTAGGTTCTGGTGTATTGTGTGTTCTGCTATATCAGTGTAGGTTCTGGTGTATTGTGTGTTCTGCTATATCAGTGTAGGTTCTGGTGTATTGTGTGTTCTGCTATATCGGTGTAGGTTCTGGTGTATTGTGTGTTCTGCTATATCAGTGTAGGTTCTGGTGTATTGTGTGTTCTGCTATATCGGTGTAGGTTCAGGCGTATTATGTGTTCTGCTATATTGGTGTAGGTTCTGGTGTATTGTGTGTTCTGCTATATCAGTGTAGGTTCTGGTGTATTGTGTGTTCTGCTATATTGGTGTAGATTCTGGTGTATTGTGTGTTCTGCTATATTGGTGTAGGTTCTGGTGTATTGTGTGTTCTGCTATATCGGTGCAGGTTATGTTATGTTTTTTGTTCTCCTATATCGGTGTAGGTTCTGGTGTATTGTGTGTCCTGCTATTTTGGTGTAGGTTCTGGTATATTGTGTGTTCTGCTATATCGGTGTAGGTTCTGGTGTATTTTGTGTTCTGGTAAATAGGTGTAGGTTATGTTGTATTGAGTGTTTTGCTATTTCGGTGTAGGTTCTGGTATATTATGTGTTCTGCTATATCGGTGTAGGTTCTGGTGTATTGTTTGTTCTGCTATATCGGTGTAGGTTCTGGTGTATTGTGTGTTCTGCTATATCGGTGTAGGTTCAGGCGTATTATGTGTTCTGCTATATTGGTGTAGGTTCTGGTGTATTGTGTGTTCTGCTATATCAGTGTAGGTTCTGGTGTATTGTGTGTTCTGCTATATTGGTGTAGATTCTGGTGTATTGTGTGTTCTGCTATATTGGTGTAGGTTCTGGTGTATTGTGTGTTCTGCTATATCGGTGCAGGTTATGTTATGTTTTTTGTTCTCCTATATCGGTGTAGGTTCTGGTGTATTGTGTGTCCTGCTATTTTGGTGTAGGTTCTGGTATATTGTGTGTTCTGCTATATCGGTGTAGGTTCTGGTGTATTTTGTGTTCTGGTAAATAGGTGTAGGTTATGTTGTATTGAGTGTTTTGCTATTTCGGTGTAGGTTCTGGTATATTATGTGTTCTGCTATATCGGTGTAGGTTCTGGTGTGTTGTTTGTTCTGCTATATCGGTGTAGGTTCTGGCGTATTGTTTGTTCTACTGTACCAGTGAATGTTCTGGTGTATTGTGTGTTCTGCTATATCGGTGTAGGTTCTGGTGTATTGTGTGTTCTGCTATATCGGTGTAGGTTCTGGTGTATTGTGTGTTCTGCTATATCGGTGTAGGTTCTGGTGTATTGTGTGTTCTGCTATATCAGTGTAGGTTCTGGTGTATTGTGTGTTCTGCTATATCAGTGTAGGTTCTGGTGTATTGTGTGTTCTGCTATATCGGTGTAGGTTCTGGTGTATTGTGTGTTCTGCTATATCGGTGTAGGTTCTGGCGTATTGTTTGTTCTACTGTACCAGTGTCTGTTCTGGTGTATTGTGTGTTCTGCTATATTGGTGTAGGTTCTGGTGTATTGTGTGTCCTGCTATATCAGTGTAGGTTCTGGTGTATTGTGTGTTCTGCTATATCAGTGTAGGTTCTGGTGTATTGTGTGTTCTGCTATATCGGTGTAGGTTCTGGTGTATTGTGTGTTCTGCTATATCAGTGTAGGTTCTGGTGTATTGTGTGTTCTGCTATATCGGTTGAGTTCAGGCGTATTATGTGTTCTGCTATATTGGTGTAGGTTCTGGTGTATTGTGTGTTCTGCTATATCAGTGTAGGTTCTGGTGTATTGTGTGTTCTGCTATATTGGTGTAGATTCTGGTGTATTGTGTGTTCTGCTATATTGGTGTAGGTTCTGGTGTATTGTGTGTTCTGCTATATCGGTGCAGGTTATGTTATGTTTTTTGTTCTCCTATATCGGTGTAGGTTCTGGTGTATTGTGTGTCCTGCTATTTTGGTGTAGGTTCTGGTATATTGTGTGTTCTGCTATATCGGTGTAGGTTCTGGTGTATTTTGTGTTCTGGTAAATAGGTGTAGGTTATGTTGTATTGAGTGTTTTGCAATTTCGGTGTAGGTTCTGGTATATTATGTGTTCTGCTATATCGGTGTAGGTTCTGGTGTATTGTTTGTTCTGCTATATCGGTGTAGGTTCTGGTGTATTGTTTGTTCTGCTATATCGGTGTAGGTTCTGGTGTATTGTGTGTTCTGCTATATCGGTGTAGGTTCTGGTGTATTGTGTGTTCTGCTATATCGGTGTAGGTTCTGGTGTATTGTTTGTTCTGCTATATCGGTGTAGGTTCTGGCGTATTATGTGTTCTGCTATATCGGTGTAGGTTCTGGTGTATTGTGTGTTCTGCTATATCGGTGTAGATTCTGGTGTATTGTTTGTTCTGCTATATCGGTGTAGGTTCTGGTGTATTGTGTGTTCTGCTATATCGGTGTAGGTTCTGGTGTATTGTGTGTTCTGCTATATCGGTGTAGGTTCTGGTGTATTGTGTGTTCTGCTATATCGGTGTAGGTTCTGGTGTATTATGTGTTCTGCTATATCGGTGTAGGTTCTGGTGTATTGTTTGTTCTGCTATATCGGTGTAGGTTCTGGTGTATTGTTTGTTCTGCTATATCGGTGTAGGTTCTGGTGTATTGTTTGTTCTGCTATATCGGTGTAGGTTCTGGTGTATTGTTTGTTCTGCTATATCGGTGTAGGTTCTGGTGTATTATGTGTTCTGCTATATCGGTGTAGGTTCTGGTGTATTGTGTGTTCTGCTATATCGGTGTAGGTTCTGGTGTATTATGTGTTCTGCTATATCGGTGTAGGTTCTGGTGTATTGTTTGTTCTGCTATATCGGTGTAGGTTCTGGTGTATTGTGTGTTCTGCTATATCGGTGTAGGTTCTGGTGTATTATGTGTTCTGCTATATCGGTGTAGGTTCTGGTGTATTGTTTGTTCTGCTATATCGGTGTAGGTTCTGGTGTATTGTGTGTTCTGCTATATCGGTGTAGGTTCTGGTGTATTGTGTGTTCTGCTATATCGGTGTAGGTTCTGGTGTATTGTTTGTTCTGCTATATCGGTGTAGGTTCTGGTGTATTGTGTGTTCTGCTATATCGGTGTAGGTTCTGGTGTATTGTGTGTTCTGCTATATCGGTGTAGGTTCTGGTGTATTGTGTGTTCTGCTATATCGGTGTAGGTTCTGGTGTATTGTGTGTTCTGCTATATCGGTGTAGGTTCTGGTGTATTGTGTGTTCTGCTATATCGGTGTAGGTTCTGGTGTATTGTTTGTTCTGCTATATCGGTGTAGGCTGTGGTGTATTGTGTGTTCTGCTATATCGGTGTAGGTTCTGGTGTATTGTGTGTTCTGCTATATCGGTGTAGGTTCTGGTGTATTGTTTGTTCTGCTATATCGGTGTAGGTTCTGGTGTATTGTTTGTTCTGCTATATCGGTGTAGGCTGTGGTGTATTGTGTGTTCTGCTATATCGGTGTAGGTTCTGGTGTATTGTGTGTTCTGCTATATCGGTGTAGGCTGTGGTGTATTGTGTGTTCTGCTATATCGGTGTAGGTTCTGGTGTATTGTTTGTTCTGCTATATCGGTGTAGGCTGTGGTGTATTGTGTGTTCTGCTATATCGGTGTAGGTTCTGGTGTATTGTTTGTTCTGCTATATCGGTGTAGGCTGTGGTGTATTGTGTGTTCTGCTATATCGGTGTAGGTTCTGGTGTATTGTTTGTTCTGCTATATCGGTGTAGGCTGTGGTGTATTGTGTGTTCTGCTATATCGGTGTAGGTTCTGGTGTATTGTGTGTTCTGCTATATCGGTGTAGGCTGTGGTGTATTGTGTGTTCTGCTATATCGGTGTAGGTTCTGGTGTATTGTTTGTTCTGCTATATCGGTGTAGGCTGTGGTGTATTGTGTGTTCTGCTATATCGGTGTAGGTTCTGGTGTATTGTGTGTTCTGCTATATCGGTGTAGGTTCTGGTGTATTGTTTGTTCTGCTATATCGGTGTAGGCTGTGGTGTATTGTGTGTTCTGCTATATCGGTGTAGGTTCTGGTATATTATGTGTTCTGCTATATCGGTGTAGGTTCTGGTGTATTGTGTGTTCTGCTATATCGGTGTAGGTTCTGGTATATTGTGTGTTCTGCTATATCGGTGTAGGTTCTGGTGTGTTGTTTGTTCTGCTATATCGGTGTAGGTTCTGGTGTATTGTTTGTTCTGCTATATCGGTGTAGGTTCTGGTGTATTGTTTGTTCTGCTATATCGGTGTAGGTTCTGGTGTATTGTGTGTTCTGCTATATCGGTGTAGGTTCTGGTGTATTGTTTGTTCTGCTATATCGGTGTAGGTTCTGGTGTATTGTTTGTTCTGCTATATCGGTGTAGGTTCTGGTGTATTGTGTGTCCTGCTATATCGGTGTAGGTTCTGGTGTATTGTTTGTTCTGCTATATCGGTGTAGGTTCTGGTGTGTTGTTTGTTCTGCTATATCGGTGTAGGTTCTGGTGTGTTGTTTGTTCTGCTATATCGGTGTAGGTTCTGGTGTATTGTGTGTCCTGCTATATCGGTGTAGGTTCTGGTGTATTGTTTGTTCTGCTATATCGGTGTAGGTTCTGGTGTGTTGTTTGTTCTGCTATATCGGTGTAGGTTCTGGTGTATTGTGTGTTCTGCTATATCGGTGTAGGTTCTGGTGTATTGTGTGTTCTGCTATATCGGTGTAGGTTCTGGTGTGTTGTTTGTTCTGCTATATCGGTGTAGGTTCTGGTGTATTGTTTGTTCTGCTATATCGGTGTAGGTTCTGGTGTATTGTTTGTTCTGCTATATCGGTGTAGGTTCTGGTGTATTGTTTGTTCTACTATATCGGTGTAGGTTCTGGTATATTATGTGTTCTGCTATATCGGTGTAGGTTCTGGTGTATTGTTTGTTCTACTATATCGGTGTAGGTTCTGGTATATTATGTGTTCTGCTATATCGGTGTAGGTTCTGGTGTATTGTTTGTTCTGCTATATCGGTGTAGGCTGTGGTTTGTGTTATGTTCTGTCTTCGGGTATATCGTCGTGTGTTCTTCTTTGCCAACGTTCTAGTTGTCAAATCGTAGTTTCGCGACATCTGTTTAGTAAAACATGTTCTTAAAAAAAACAACTTACCAAAGATGTACCCGGTGCTGATGGTGCTGTGCACCAGGAACCCACCAATCACAGTCAGCACTCCGCGGATAGGAAGACTGCGCATGCGTGATAGCATGTTTTGCGCCATCTTGGAAATTCTTTCTGTGTCGCAGGCTCTACTATGTAAGAAAAGCAAAATGAAAGGTGAAAGCTATATTCAAATCCAAACTGTCGATTAATTCAATAACATACTCAAAATACACAAGATACCAATGTGTGTAAGATAAATATATATATGCAGTCGCAATTGGCCGGGTTTACAAAGCGTAAACATACTTACAACGATTATTCAATACGACCTCCATCAAGATGAATGATTGATAACGATTGATTAAACGAGCATCAGGTATTGAAGTCCTTTCGATACCTCAAAAGTAGGATGCCTTTTTGCACAAAAAATCTTGCAAATGAAGATATCGATCTATCGATAGCCTACGCATCAATACATCACTACAACAACAGCGGCCGATAATCTACTATAATTGTATACGTTTGATTTTGGAACACCATTAGTCATCATGTTAATGGTTAACGTAATTACAGATGGGTGATTTCCTCTGGGTTTATGTATGTTGTAACGTGAACAACAATTTTGAACCATCGACAGTGAAGGATAAAGGAAAAATATCCAGTTTATCCACGTGAAAGTTCGTAGTGGCGAGATAGTCATTCTACTAGTTGATAGTTATTTCAAACCAACTGATACATAACTGCGACTTCACAATAACTAAAACACTGTGATTTAGTAAGTTATTTTACATATAAATTAGTTCCGCGTTTTTTTTGTCGCTATTTATAAAACCAGTCACCCCTACATGTGCAATGGGGTATATTTCATAAAATTGACTCGGTTGTGAGCTAAATATGCAAATATGCAACATGTTACGATTATATAAAATATGTATTTATGAAGGGTTATTTCGCCATTTTTTAGAATCTGTATATTATAACCATTATTTTGAAATAATCAAGAACATATGAAATTAATCTTGAACTTTAGTAATACTATGTGTGTCACTACCCGACCCATTTTCGGCACCTTCTAAGAAGATGACCGATTTACCAGTGTGTAAGTACGCCTCCCAAGAGAGCACCGTTGTCGTCATGGTAATTAAAAGATAAACCTACTGTGTTTTAATATTGGAGGTAGTCTAACTGTGGAGTAGATACCTACTTGCTTATACATTCAAAACCGCGTGTTAAAGCGCTTGTTTCTTAATTTAAATAACAGGTATCTAATCATCTGTTAGACTACCCCCAATTTTAAAACACAGAAGGGATATCTCCCAGGTCACGAATCTCAAAATGCTCCTAAACATTGTATCCCCACTTGATCACCGTCACGATAGACCAGCTGACTAATATCATATGCTAAACCCCGACTTCATTCATTAAAAAGAGAATTATGTTCGGGTAAAATGGCAAGTTTGATTCAAGTCGGTAAAATACACCCAAAAAGATTTAAAAATTATTTTTTCTTTTTTTTCTTGAATGCCAAAAAATATGGTATACATAAATCTAGAGGTTAAATTGTGCCCTTATTAGAGACAATGTCGCAGCTTATCATACAATGGGTAGTGTTAATGATGTAATATACCAAACAGATTAAATTCGTATCACGATCCGATAAATATGCAAATATAGTCACTAATCAGGAACTACTTTTAATCTCCATATCCATTATTCATATTATCCTTGCTCAGTTTACTGTTGACTAACGTTCCAAATAAGCTTAGACAGGTGACATCCTAC